TATTTTTGCCTTCTCAGCCCTGCAGTCTCTTGTGTTGCATAATTTATATATTATAAAGTATGCTAGATGGGCAGAAAGTCATTGCCTTTCTTCACATGGTCACATGAGTTGAGGATTTCATGCAAGAAAACATACATTGCTAGCAGGTAAATATAGCAAGTTAGATTACAACACTGTGTAAATATAAGGTTATGTTTGTGGGGTTTTTCCTAAAGAGTTCACAGTAAAATACAGGTATCATTTTTCTCATTCATAAATGCAGCACTTGAAGGTATGTTGAATCCAGGGAAAAAGGGAGGATGAATCTTCTCAGGACAGCAAAAATACATGTGCCTTGCCACTCACTCACCCCATTGCAGGAAATAATCACATGTGATAAATTGTACTTGTAAGGTTTAACAGCTTTCATGTAAGGAAAAAAAAACCAAAAAACATTGCATAAAGGATGTTTACCAGCACTGGTAGCAAGAGCTGGAAACATTTTGCTCAAGGAGATCAGAACTTGATTTTTCAATCATGGCAAATTTTGATCATGGCTTATAAAGGTGAAGAATATCTGGAAAAGGCACTGTGCTCTTTAAAAAAGACCCGTAGTTCTTGTATTTGGAAGTTACCAAATTGGCTTCCAGCCCAGCACTCCAAAGCGGGTTCTTGAAGAGTCCTTGCAACCCTCAACATGGTTCTGTTAAGACCAGAGTGAAAAAACAGTGTCTGTGTGTAGAACTGGTACATCATAAGGTGGAAGAAAGAGCTTTAGCTCAACCTTTTAACATTACTCAGCTTAAGATGCACGTCCTGGATTGTGGCCTGTGGAAAAGTTTCCAGAGCATACCGCTGCAGTACTGGGTTTGGGCACCTGTGTGCCCTGGCAGGTGGTTAGAAATATAGTACAGAGTACAAGGAGTTAGTGATTGGGTCACGTGCGCTAAATTCGGATTCCTCTTCAACAAGACAGGAACTATCTGTGTATCCCATAAGACGATCCATAATTTTTCTCCTTCTAATGTTTTTTCTTCAGACAGCAAAACAAATAGTGACTATTACAAGAACTATGGAGAGTGAAAAGTTCTTTTATGAAGTGTCTGATCAAAAAGCCTTTCTCAGAAGAAATCAGACTTCTCGCATGCCTCAGGAGAGCTTACGCTAATGTTGGAGGGTTTGTGGTGAAGACGCCAGTGCAGTGCACAGGCTACCCAAGAGACATAATCAGCTTTTAGATTACTGCCAACCTGCGTTAGGCACAGAATTGCAGGAGGTAAATCACGTTTACATCCTTAAGACCAATGTGCTGAGCTGTCTCTTCCTGTTGGGTATAAGTATTTTAGAGGTGACTCGTGTCAGAATTGAACAGTGGTTAAAAAGAAACACTGAGTTTTGTGAAATTCGCTGGCTTGTCACCTACTTTTGGCTATTAGATGAACAGTCGTTCTAGTGCAAGCTCAAGTCCAAATAACGATCGGCACAGGAGAACATTCATACGGCACTGCTCTTGAAATGCCAGTTCCCACTTCCTCCTCTCCATGTGTGTCAATAGTTTGAAGGAATTGCATTCCTCCCTGTTGAGTCTGCTGTCCATGATAAATAACACAATTAGTAGCAATAGCAAAGAATTACAAACTTTTTTTCCCCTAGGGAATAGTTAAGATTAGTCAAGAGAAAGTGTTGATAGCAACAGTAACACAGTCTTATATCTGACATGAAGTAACAGCGAATGTTTACTGCACTAAGAGGAGAAACAGCATGAAGTTGGGAGAAGAGTTCTTCCAGAACAAAAGTTATTTGACTAAAATACAGATGTAGCAGTAGGTACAAGAAACCAGATACAGACAACGAGGCACCACGATTATTCATGGTTGCAGATCTCTCTGCACCTCTCGCTGCTGCTACCTGGATATGTTGCTTACCAAACCAGAGTGTGTGTTGCTCCACCTGTGAGAGGCCAGACGAGGCTGACCATAAGGCAAAGGGCATGTTCCTTGTTCTTTTGTGTGTGGAAAAATAAATCTGCAAGTAACACTCAGTTCTCAGAGCTTAGTTCTTAATAGGGCACCATATATTAGGTAAGTAACATAGATTTGGGCTGTATTTGCATAATAAAGACCAGTGCCGCTGCAAATTACATCTTGCTCTCTGCAATACCATAATTACAGACTTTGTGGTCTGTAAACATCGTATTTAAAGGGAACTGAGCCCAAGCACATGCTAACCTGTTGGCATCTTGTCCTTACAGATGGAACCAATACCTGTAACTGGTTGAGGACACTATGTAGCAACAGCGTTGGTATAATTCATAAAAGTAGTACAACACAATGAAAACTGGACTGTGGGGTTTTTTGCCAAATTTCATAGTAACCCTTATTGCTTTTAACAAATACACCTTTGACCAATTCAGTTCCACTGGCCCTAGCTATTTTGTGCTCGGAACATGAGTCAGTGTGTTCCAAAAAATACTTATCTTTAAGGTGCACCTTGCTTTTTTCTTCTTAGATGCAGCCATTAACTCTTGATGAAAAACTCTTACCTGCAGAGATGTAGTCCAAGTGCTTAACTGAGCGCCAGCGTGCACATATGCTCAGGGAACACTGCCAGTACTAACAGTGACATGGCACTGGCCTCACATGACTGGTCTGGGAGGGGACAGCCAGCTCCTGCTTGGAAACACACCCCCGTCGCCTTTGCCTAAACCCTCAGAAAGTTTCCACAGCAATAGGGAAAGGTGAGGAGTTGAACTCTGGGCTCTGAATAGACACAAAGGACCTCTCCTAGGCTACCATCAGCGGGAGGTGAGCAACAAATGGGCAGCCAGAGTTCAGGGGTGTAGTAGCTTGAAAAGATAGGAGAGAAACTTGGAATCATTAAAAGGCAATGTCATGTGTCTGTGTAAAGTACGATTGTAAGTTTTTCTAGGAACTAGAAAAACTGTGCTTGGCACAGCAGGACATCCATCAAACACGACATCCAGTCCTGCGTCTGTCCACAGAGTGTGGCTGATATGCAGCTTTTCGGGTGACCAGGTAAGTTGTCCTTACGTTTTCCTTTCTGTACATTCTATACTTCTGAGGATAGTCACAGCCTTTCTTCTCTCCGGTGTGGTTGTTTCCCACTGTCTATACACTGTAAGGGTTGATTCCACTGAAGTAGATTCTACATGAGAAGGTTCAAGCAGGAGGGAAAAGGGAATACCAAGGAAGTGTGGTAGGCAGCCCGTCTGTCGCAGCAGCCGTGCATACCCTGTTCCTCAGCTGAACCTGCTGGCAGCAGGACTGCTCAGTGGGTGACAGAAGAAGGACGTGATGCCATGTGACACTGGGTACAACACCAGGAGAAGAAGGTGCTTGTGCAGCCTCAGCTTGGGACTGTCCGGGCAGTAGAAGTGGAAGGGCACAGCAGAGATGGAACAGCACTAATAATGTAAATGTTAAGACAGATGTAAAAAGGATGGCGGTTATTTCCTTTTGAGATTATGCTGAGCATTTTCAAACATGACTTACATAAACTAGCCTTTTCTGATGCCTGAAGGGGAAAATTCAGTGAAAACAGATCTGTGACTTAATGAGCAGTTGTTGGACAAATGAAGTTGTACATGGAAATAATAATAAGAAGAAGAAGAAATAATGGAATTCTTTATTGACTAGTGTATGTTTCCCCTTTAATAGAAAAAACAATTAATTCAGGGTCGATAATTTGATTTGGATCAAATTTTCTGTTAATGAATTTGAAATAACCAAAAAGTAGGGTTTTTTCAATTTTTTTCTTTAACATCACCAGTTCTGGCTCATCTTTGGAAATAGCTGCGGGCAGCCTGATTTGGGGCTGTAGTACATGCCAACATGAGATTGGTGCCAAGCAGCTGAATGGCTTTTTTGTTTGCTGGAACAACCATAGTTACACGAATGCTTTTTTAATGTACTTGATGTATTCTGAATCAGAAGAAACATTATCCAACAAAAAAGAGTAGGTAATGAGATGTTGGGGAAAACCTAATCCATCAATATTTGTCCATTTTTAATGTAGATAATGTAAAATTTTATCCTATAACTGTGAGTGAATAAAGGTAGCATATTGAGATTTGGGGGAGAGGGAGGGTAAGCAGACATGGAAGTACTGTTTTGAACTGGAAGTCTTTGCCTGTACAAGACTTCTGTCATTTGATTATTTTTAAAGGAGTACTACTAGAAATATGATGGTGATTTTAACTCTTTCCTAAACTCACAGAATTTGAGACTCAGTCAAGCAATAGCTCTTTCTCCTCCTAAAAACTCAAAGCAGAGGCACGTTTTCTGCTGGGCTCTGCTCTTAGATGCAGCAGAGTTTCAGTCAGCGCTGCTGTATGGAGGAGCCGTTCTGGAGCATCAGCCTCCCAGCCAGCAGATAACTGTGATACCCCTTTTATGTCTGCCTCCCTAAGACCTAATTTTATTGACTACAAAGTTATCAGAGTAGAATAATCCTTTTAAGTACAGAAAACTATGGCCCACACTATTTACTGTGCTGTTCCAGCAGAATAATTTCATGTTGCTGTTTTCAGGTCCCTAGAGAAGACAGAGAGGTGCACAGCGAAAGGACAAGGGAAACAAGTTATAACAAAGGAAATTCTCATTAGATACCAGAAGGGAAAAAAAATTACAGTGAAGGCAGTAAAGTACTAAAACAGATTTCCTAGAGAAGCTGTGGAGTCTCCCTCCATATAGACACTCAAAACTCAACTGCTCCAGGCTCTGCACAGCCTGCTGGCTCAGAAAACTGGAATGGAGCAAAGAGTCAAAAAGGAATGGATTAATCAGGCTTGGCATATTTCAAGCATTAGTAGTGTTTTCCTGGAGACATGGGCACACCTGCACTGAGAGGATCTGTGTGACAAGATGGGTGTGTAGTTTATGTTACATAACCTAAAATGCATCATAGTGATGAGAAGGTCTGTTGGAAATGAAGGTAAGATCTGTTTGTCCTGTGGCAAGTTATTTATGATGTTTTATTCAGGCTAGCAGGTTGTGATTGCTCCTTTCTGAAACGCTGCAAGAGGAGGACTCCCAAGAGGCTCACTAGCATCATAAAGGTAATTAAATATTATCTTTCTATTTAATAATTTTCCAACTGGTTGTTTTTGTACCTTAGACAGGACCCTTTTTACCTTCTTTGTGCTTTGGTTCCTTAGGTAACTAACACAGTTGGCCTGTGCTTGAATATTCTTCTGAGAATGAAAAGCAAAATGGATTAAATTCTGCAATCCTCAGTAATCTGGCCTTCATATTATTAAAATTCATGTGTGTGTTCTTAAAGACTGAGCAAAACCAAGAAAATGTTAAGGAATGTTTTTTTGGCTTTTGCTAATTATAATTATGGTAAGAGTGCAACAATATAACATCAGCTACACAATAATCCGCAGGGCAGCCACAACACATCCTGAAATACAGAGATCTTGCCATGGCCATGGACAGCAGTGAAACTCCAGCAGCTATTTAAACCTTGGGTTTGATTTATTTTTTTTTTAACAAAAAAAATGGCAACAAATAGTCAAGCCAGAGCCAGATGCAGGGAGATGTATTACAAAGTGGCCAGCTGTCCATTTAGAATTTTAAACCCTCAAATTGACCATAGTGGACTTGAAGCAAAGATGATTTTGTCACTCACCATGTTGTTAAGCTGCAGCTTACTGTTCCTCTGCCACATGAGTGAAGGCTGTACAGGGCTCTACTGTGCTAATTCTTTGTGGCATGAATTTGCATTGTTGTGGTCAGATTTTTGTTTTCATCCGTGTTGGTTTAACAACATGTTATCATTA